ATTCCCAGTAGTGGAATTGCTGGGTCAAATGGTATCTTTATTTGCAACTTTTTGAGAAAGCGCCACAATGCTTTCCACAGTGGTTGCACCATTTACGTTACCTCTTAATAGCAAACAACTCATTGAGTTAGAACGTGTTGAGTTGATAAACTCATAGCTGACCCTCCAGTGGGTTTTCAGGGCCTATAAATCACACAGATTACCCATCTTTGTCCTGCAGAGCAGCTGGTGGATTTGAAACGCCTGCCTTTGTGTTGGCAGTGCAGCTCTCTATCCACTAGGTTGTAAGACTTCCTTCTAGACAACAACGTGCAATAAACAACTTCTTGGTTGGAAATTTGTGAATTTTAGCATGCTTCTCTTAGCTTCACTTTTTAACTTTTTATTACTGGGTAGAGGGAGAAGGAGGATGGTGGTTGAATAAGCTTGTTCACTCTGTGCAGGCTGCACTCTGTGGTGGTGATACTGTCTTGATGGACAATGGAACTGTTTTGCTACAAAACCGATTATGTTTAAAATTTGAACAGTAAAGAATATTAGCAAATAATAAGCCATATAAAGGAAAAGTGATTGCTTTAGTTAGAAATGTGAGTTCAGCTCTAATATTGCCTTGTGTGGAGGAGGGCAAGGCCTATGGAGCAAAAAAGTCTGGAGCTTTTCTGTGTTCTTTTTTTTTTTTCAACCTTTTTTGCATTCCATCAACATGAGATTAGCGATTCCCTGCTTCTTGTTTTCCTCCTTCCTTTTGAAAGCAAATTGAGCTCTGGTGGCCTAATGGTAGGAAGTTTTGCTGCCAGACCAAAGACAAATGATTTGAATCCACCACATAGTCTCTGAAAACTGGTAGAGGTCCAGTAATGGGTGGATTCTGACTTAACCATAATAGTTTTGGGTTTTGATTTTTTTTAAAAAAAGCAAAAGTGAAAATATTAAATATCTCAGTGTCTGACTAATGATCTTGTTCACCTACACTCTTAACTCACCTAGAGATTTTTATTTGAAAGTTTCCATGTTGATTGTTTAGTTTTGAATGTAGAGATTTCTAACTTAAGCATTGCAGACAACTCAGGGAAAGTCTTATTGGGATTTACAAAGTCCCCTATAAACAGACTACTAGTTCTGTTGTGAAAGTCATCTACAGGAGCTGGTTTTACAGAAACTGTTGGCTGTGATTGGTGAGCTGTAGGATGGAATGTTGATTTGTTAAGGAAAGTGAGGCGATGTGATGTTGTTAAGTGCCATCGAGTCATAGGTGACTCATAGTGACCCTATGAACGAAAGTCCTTGACACTTGCATGTGTGACTTTCATCCTTTTCTCCAGAGGCGATGTGATAAGGCCTCCTATTAAAAAACCCATTAGGGCCCAAGGGCCACAGGTCCTCAGGCCTGGTTTAAATTGTTTTTTGTTAAGCATTCTTCTAAGTGGTATAGCACTGGTGTGTACATTGCTGTACAGAGGTAACATGTGGTTGCTGTGTTGTGTCACTCTGTTACACTGATGTGCCAAATGCAATAACCGTTACTTATGGTGGACACTGTTTGATGGAGCTTCCCAATTAAAAAGCTTGGAAGCAGGAGTGGCATCCACTTCCAAAATGGCTTGCCTCCTGAAATTCTGTGAGCAGTGCTCTGGTCTTTTGTTCATAGGGTCGCTTGAGTCGTCAACAGCACTTAACAACAACAACAGTTCTGTTGGTGTTGTTAAGCCTTCTAGGATTCTGAGAGATGTGAGATTGAGAGCTCAGGACACCCACAAGAGATATTGTCTGCTGCCCCTCCATTGCCTGGCAAGACCTGCTGAGCTTATAGAACAGGATTGCTGGACGATGCCACCTGTCTGCATTGTGGTGGTTTTTCTGGAAGACTTGCCCTCTTCCCTGCTGTAGAATAACTTGAACACAACCACACGTTGACAAATGTTACTGTAGTATTATATTAATGATGTAGTGTATCTGGATGTGTTTCATGTTTCCTACAGATAGAAAGGGTGCCAGTGCTAAGACGATGTTAGATAAGTGATGTTCGATACAAACCAAGCCATACTTAACTGTTCCAACTTCTGTTACAAAATCTCTATAGGAATGGGATTCACTTGTAACTGTAATGGTGTAATGGTGACTGCCTCTGTTAAATAAATAGCAATTTTTATGTATTGATTTCTCTGTAGAATAGCACACTGGGAAAAAATTCTGAGTACATTTTCTGCTGAAAGAACACTGGAAGTGTTGTCTGAGGAAAGCATATTTATTTATTTTGAATCCTTGCATTGCTCTGAGCCCAAGTGCTGACCTGTTGAACCCAAATACATTGTGTTCTACATTGTTGAACCCAGATGCATTGTGTTCATAGAAAGCATTCTTCTCACATCTCTACTAAGGGAGAGTGTGTGTTACTAGATAATGTTTTCTACATTGGACATGAACTGCTACTTGGAGTTCCTTTGTATTGAGCAAGTAATTACATCACAATTCAAAGGTAACTTAAAAACAGTTACAGGTATACTTAGTGTTGCATATTCCTTCTCATTTTCTAGCCTATGTAAAGAAGTACTCGAGTGTGTACATAAAGGGGAGGCTTGACTTAATGGATATGCCCTTAAAATAAACATTAGAGTGCTCGCTTCAGCAGCACATATACCAAAATTGGAATGATACAGAGAAGATTAGCATGGCCCTATGCAAGGATGACACACCAAATAAATGTTAGAGACACAGAATAGCATTCGGGAAAGAAAAATGGAATGAGACGACAACTGTCGCAGCAGTGAGTGCTGTTTCTGCCGCCAGGAGAGGTTCTGCAGCAATGAGGCCAGCCAGAAACTTTACCCCTTTCCAGCAGTCTACAGTCGGGAGACACAAAACATCCAAAAACACATCCCTAGTCATGTGGCCCACCACTGCCCCCACCGCAAAGGCACCAATGGTACTGGGTCCTGGAGCAGCCACACAAGACCTGTGAGCCTCGTCACAAGCAGGGGCTCAGAAGAGGAGGACAAAGAAAACAGGGTGCTGTTTCATGTTACCCAGAGCGGCTTCCTAATTGACAGCCAAAACTGGGAGTGCATCTGGAAGCACATGGCCAAGGTGCACCCCAAGGGAGGAGAAATGATGGGCGTCATCAGGAACGCTACATTCTTGGCAAAGCCTTTAGTACCCCAGGCCTCAAAATACATGCTGTCAGTGACTATCCCACACTGGTTCCAGGCAATCCAGAATTACATGAAGATACTGAAATACAATCACACAGGGACCTAGATCTTTGAAATTAGGAAAATGAAACTGCTCAGTGGGTTAATGGAAACAAAAAAAGAAATGACCCGAGAGTCTTTGCCTATCAAATGCCTTGAAGCTGTCATCCTAGGAGTATACTCAACCACTGGGCATCCTTTCATTGAATGATTCCCCATCAGCTTTAAAACCCACTTCTCAGGAAACTACTTTCACCACATTGTGCTGGGGATTTATTGCAATGGTCCCTATGGTTCCCTGGGCATAAAAGCTGGAGAACTGAGCTGATGAACAAGCCTTTTG